GGGGCGGGGGGGGTGCCCCCCTCTCGCCCCCCTGCTGCCTCAGCCTGGTCCCCAGCTCGGCTGATGCCCCTCAGCCCACCCCAGAACTTGACTCATTTTTCACCCCGTAAAAAAAACTCTCAGGCTTTGTGCCAATCCCAGGCTCCCGACAGCCAGCGGCGAACTCCGACCTCCACCATGCCCCTCCCAAGCCACCGCCCAGCTCCCTGGGCCTGCTGCCCCCCAGCTACGGCCCAGCGGTGAGCCCCATGGCGCTGACGTCCTTAGTCCCTCTCGACAGGCCTTCCCCTTTACTGGGCCACAGAGGGGCCTAGGCCTGAACGAAGCCCCACAGGACAAGCCCCACATCCCCTGCTCGGTCCCGCCTCCCTTTGGGGGCCCGGGGCAGCAGGTGAAGCCAGAGCAGGGCTGCCAGTGCCCAGGGAAGCTTGGGGGGGCGGGGGACACAGCCCCTCCTCCCCACCCTGTGTCCCAGCTGGGACCTAGTGCCCCTGCACTGGCCCGTCTTACACCCCCAGCTGCTGCTTCAGGGCCCCCCAGGCTGGCAGGCACCCTCCCCCCTGCCGGCACAACGCTCAGGCAGGTGCATGCTGGGAGGTGTAGTTCTCACTCCAGAACACCCCAACCAGCTGCATGCTGGGAAGCATAGTTCTTACCATTGGCCAGCACACCCCCTCCCCCAACCAGGTGTATGCTGGGAGGTGTAGTTCTCACCATAGAATTGCACCCAAGCCAGGTGCATGCTGGGAAGCTTAGTTCTCACTTCTGACATGACACCTCAGTGACAGGGCCCCAGGACACCAAGCCAAGTGCTGGGAGGGCTCTGGGCCCCCCAAGGCAGACCCCCCCAGCACAGCATTGGCCAGCACACCCCCTCCCCCAACCAGGTGTATGCTGGGAGGTGTAGTTCTCACCATAGAATTGCACCCAAGCCAGGTGCATGCTGGGAAGCTTAGTTCTCACTTCTGACATGACACCTCAGTGACAGGGCCCCAGGACACCAAGCCAAGTGCTGGGAGGGCTCTGGGCCCCCCAAGGCAGACCCCCCCAGCACAGCCACAGCCTCCCCTGTCTCAGATCCGACCCCTCCGTGCCCAGGGCGACACCAAGAACGACACGTGGATCTTCTCCCTGGCCGTGCTGCTCAGCAGCACCCTGGTCTACAACAGCAAAGGGACCATCGACCAGTACGCCCTGGAGCAGCTGCAGTATCCTTGCTGGAGGGGGTCACGGGCTGGGAGTCTGGGGGGCGTTCCCGGGGCGGGGCCGAGAGTCCTGGGGACTGTGGGGCTGGTACCCCTGTTCCCTCTCATGTTCCCATCCACGTGTGGAATAACTGTTGTGACGTGCACCGAGGCCGGGGCGGACGTGCATCACCGGGAGAAACACAAACCCAGCCGTGGGCGCCCGGCTAATCACCCGGGCGGCAGGGGACTCGCTCCTGGGCGGCCGCACCAGCTCGCAGGGAACCCTGGAGGGAGCCCCCCGTTCAGTCCCACGGGTGGTAGGGCCCAGGTCTGGCCCCAGTTTGAGTCCTCAGCCCCCGGCCCAGCTTCGTGTCGGAGCTGACGGACCACATCAAGGTGAAGGCGCAGGCCGGGGACGAGGGGGAGGACACGGAGTTCGTCCGCTTCTTCCCCGGCTTCGTCTGGGCCGTGCGGGATTTCACGCTGGCGCTGGAGATCGACGGGCAGCAGGTGACGGAGGATCAGTACCTGGAGCACGCGCTGGCCCTGAAGAAAGGTGAGTTGGGGTGCGGTGGTACGTCGGGGTTCCCCCACCTCCTGCACCTTCAGCTCTGCAATCCTGCAGTCCCAAGGGCGAGTCAAGGTTGCCAGGTCTCGACTCCCACCAGGTCCAGGGGATAGGTTGGGAAGGAGGGTAACAGACCCCACTCTGAGGAGAAACACGGAGAGGGCCAGGCTGGCTGGGGCCCCAGTCGGATTCACTTGAAACTACACATCAACTAGAATAAAGGAAGGGGGGTTCACTCCCCCCATTTGTGGATTTCACGCTGGCGCTGGAGATCGACGGGCAGCAGGTGACGGAGGATCAGTACCTGGAGCACGCGCTGGCCCTGAAGAAAGGTGAGTTGGGGTGCGGTGGTACGTCGGGGTTCCCCCACCTCCTGCACCCCCTAGTGGCACGAACAGACTCCCCCAGCCAGTAGAACAGAGGGAGTTTATCACTTCTCCCGGGCACAGCCCAGCACAGATGTAATGTGGTTCCAGGGCAGGCCTAGGATGCCTCAGCCCCCTTGAGATGGGGGAGCCTGGGCCCCTAAATCCCAGCCCCCTGCCTAGGCTGCTTCCTTCATCATTCCCAACAGAAACTACCCAACTCTCCTCCAGCGCTGCCCCCCAGCCAGGGGTGACCTCCGCTCCTTCCTTTGTCTCTCCCCCTGGGAGGTAACTGGTCGGACAGGTTGGGAGCCCCTTGCATAATGACTCATCCCCTGTCCTGCTGGGCCCTGCTACAAACAGCCCCCAGCGGAGGTCCCCCACAGCCCCAGCCTAGCAACCAGCAAGGTACCAACACTAGGTCACACCCTGGATCCCACCGCAGCCACCAATCTGCAGCTGGCACACACCACCGCAAACATCACTCAACCCATGGATCCCCATTGCACCCATCATCCTCCTGCTCCCCCTCACAGACACCATCCTGGCTCCCTCATTTCCCCT